CCCCCCCCCATAGCTAGCAATCCAAAACAGTCCCGTGGCACCTTTAAGGCCAAGTTTTATTCAGGCACAAGCTCTCCCTCCTCTGCGAGGACAGATCTGCATGTCCCCCCCTCCCAAAAGCTAGCAATCCAAAAGAGTCCAGTGGAGCCTGAGCGGTGGTGGTTGTTGCCTTCTGGCACACTTCCGGTGAGGTCAGGGGGTGTGGCATATGCAAATAAGTTATGCTAATAAGTTATGGTAATGAGCTCCTGCACCTCTTTTTCTACGAAATGACCCCTGATCATGGGTCATTCGCATGCTCTCAACCGCTGTGAGCTCCTCTGAGCTGGGCCCTCGACAGCTGCCGACCTGCAAATGGGTGAAATCAACCACTGCCTATACCCATTTCTTCCCTGCTGTGGCCCCCACCTTGTGGTATGGTCTGCCCGAGGAAGCCAGGAAGGTTCCCACTGTCTTGGCTTCCCCCAAACTATGCAAAACGATTCAAGAGGGCTGCACAGTACAAAATGGTTCACAGGCTTAGTCGGATAAATGATTAGGAACTGTGGTCTATACTGCACTGTGGTCTATACTGTATACAGCTTGCTGTAAATGGGATTCTACTGTGTAATTTTGCATCTTTTAATGCATCCTGTTAATGCTTTGCTTCAGTTTTTTTCTTCTATTTCTGGTTGGTTCTACAACCCTATTCCGATCCCATTGTTTATCAAATGTTGATTGTCTTGCCCTGACCCGGGTAGCCCAGGCAAGCCCGATCTCGTCAGATCTCAGAAGCTAAGCCGGGCCGGCCCTGGCAAGCATTTGGATGGGAGACCTCCAGGGAATACCAGGGCCGGGAGGCCAGAGGCAGGCCATCTAGTCACTTCTCTGAACGTCCTCTGTGCCCTAGTTGTTGTTGTTGTTCAGTCGCATAGTCAGGTCCGACTCTTCGTGACCCCATGGACCAGATCACGCCAGGCCCTCGTGTCTTCTGCCGTCCTCCGGAGTTTGCTCAATTTCATGTTCATTGCCTCGATAACACTGTCTAACCATCTCATCCTTTGCCGTCCCCGTCTTCTTTGACCTTCAGTCTTTCCCAGCATCAGGGTCTTCTCCAGGGAGTGTTCCCTTCTTATTGGGTGGCCAAAGTATTTGAGTGCCCTAGTAGGAGTCGCCAGAGGTTGCCATAACTTACAGGCACAGGCACACAAACACACAAAAATGCAAAAATACCTCCCAAAAGTTGATTGTCCTGACCAGTGCTCCCTCTAAGCTGTGGAGTCTTGTGAGCAAAAATCCTATTTTGTGAGCGACGGGCATTAAAGTTGCGAGCGAGCGACTTGGCCGCTGCATAAATTAAGTTTGCCCTGGAGCCCTCCTTCTTGAGCTAAGACAAGAATGTGTGAGCCGGAGGCTAAAAAACTTAGCTCACACTAGCTCAGCTTAGAGGGAACACTGGTCCGGACTCACTCTGTGTCATCTGCCTGGCGTCCCAGTGAGAAAGGCAAATGACAAATAACGTAAATAAGTAAAGTACGTAGGAAAGGAGGGAGCCTTAATGGCTACCCCTGGATCCTTGGAGGGAGCCAGGATAAAAATTGGACAACTTCATCTTCTTCTTGGTTCTGTTGGGGGGGTCTATGTTTGTGTGCAGCCCAGAGCCCCGTGTGACGTGACAACTCTTTGTCTTGGTAGCAAAAGCTGCACCATAGGGATGGTTTTGCGCCTGTGGAGTGACACGAAGATGCATCTGGATGGCGATGGGTAAGAAATGTGAGCATTTGGGGGACTGGCGGGGGGGGGATATTTGTGGAGCAAGTCTATTCAATGTTTGTGGGAGCAAAACTGTTAAGTGCCGCAGTTCTAAACATCTGGTCATCCTTGCTTGTGTGGTGTTGGGGTTTGTATCTCTGCCCCGTCCCCACCTTAGAGGGGTTCAGTTGTGCGGCTGCTTTGCTGTAGATGTTCCTTCGTCAGCTACTGAGACCTTTGGCTGTGAGCCCGTCAAGAAACAACAACGGTGTGCAGCCAAGAGCCATTCTTCTTTCTCTCTCTCTTTGCTAGTGGATTTAGCGTCAGCACTGCAGGGAGGATGCATATCTTCAAGCCGGTTTCCGTGCAAGCAATGTGGTAAGTCCTGAGTGGTGGATTCTCTTTCCATTCCCATTCACAACCTTTGAGATCCTGAAAGTAGCATTTCACTTGTACTGGCCTCAATGTTTTCTCTACGGTGCGGAGTCTTGTGAGCAAAAATTCCACCTTGTGAGCTACTGGTATTAAAGTTGTGAGCGAGCGATTTGGCTCCTGCATAAATTAGTTTGCTCTGGAACCATCCTGGAGCCAGTTTGGTGTAGAGAGAGCCAGTTTGGTGTAGTGGTTAAGTGTGCGGATTCTAATCTGGGAGAACCGGGTTTGATTCCCCACTCCTCCACTTGCACCTGCTGATGTGACCTTGGGTCAGTCACAAGCTCTGGCACAGTTGTCCTTGAAAAAGAGCAGTTTGTGTCAGAGTTCTCTCAGCCCCACCCACCTCACAGGGTGTCTGTTGTGGGGAAAGGAGTTTGTAAGCCGCTCTGAGACACCTTTGGGTAGTGAAGGGTGGGATATAAATCCAATCTCCTCTTCTTCTTCTTCTTACTGAGCTAAGACACAAATGTGTGAGCCAGAGGCTAAAAAACTGTGAGCTAACTCACACTAACTCAGCTTATAGGAAACACTACTGGACATGCTTTCGATGGAAAAACAATCCCCCTTTCTCCATTGTTTCTTTTTACCAGGTCTTTTAACGTGGGGGTTCCACACTTTTTTTTTTTACATGTTTCTATGATCTCCTTCAAGCCTGAAAACTATTTTATGACTATTATTTTAGATGTGGAATGTTATTTAATGCTATTTTTATGCGTATGGATTTTTTAAATATTCATGATTCTTGTGTTGCTCTTTTTATGATGATGAATAAAGTATTGTTTTGACTGGGTGAACCCCCTCAAACTGGAATCCGGGGAGGCGGCATATTGATTTTGTAAATAAAATACATTTGTGTTTGCTCCTGTGCTGATCCTTCATATCAAGTCCCATTTCTACTCCTGCACCTGCTGTCTTGACCCTCCGGTTAAGGTTTTCGTTCTGGGTCTCTGTACTCGCAGGTCTGCCCTCCAGATCCTCCACAAGGCTTGCGAGGTTGCTCGGCGGTACAATTACTTCCCGGGCGGGATGGCACTTGTCTGGGCCACCTACTACGAGAGCTGCATCGCCTCTGACCAGAGCTGCATCAACGAGTGGAACGCCATGCAGGACCTGGAGTCCACTCGCCCGGACTCACCAGCTTTATATGTGGACAAGTGAGTCTTCCCTGTTTAATTTCAAGCTGAGAGTTTCCTGCAGGAGACTCTCTGGAGAAAGAAGGTTTCAGGGGGTAGCCATGTTGTATAAGAACATCAGAGAAGCCGATGTTGGATCAGGCCCATGGCCCATCCAGTCCAACACTCTGTGTCACACAGTGGCCAGAAATACGAGGTGGGGCCAGGACGCTAGAAGCCCTCCCGCTGTTGCCCCCCCCCCCCAAGCACCAAGAATACAGAGCATCACTTGCCCCAGACCGAGAGTTCCTATCTATACCTTGTGGCTGATAGCCACTGTTGGACCTCTGCTCCATATGTTTATCCAATTCCCTCTTGAAACTGTCCATGCTTGTGGCTGCCACCACCTCCTGTGGCAGTGAATTCCATGTGTTAATCACTCTTTGGGTGAAGAAGGGACTTCCTTTTATCCATTCTAACCCAACTGCTCAGCAATGTCATGGAGTGCCCACGAGTTGTGAGGAAGGGAGAAAAGTACTTCTTTCTCTACCCGTTCTATCCCATGCATAATCTTGTAAACCTCGATCATGTCACCCCTCAGCCGTCGTTTCTCCAAGCTAAAGAACCCCAAGCCCTTTAACCTTCCTTTCAACCCTTTTACCATTCTAGTTCCCCTCTTCTGCACTTTTCCCAATGCTACAATATCCTTTTTGAGGTGTGGTGACCAGAACTGTACACAGTATTCCGAATGAGGTCGCGCCATTGATTTATACAGGGGCATTATGATACTGGCTGATTTGTTTTCAGTTCCCTTCCTAACAATCCCCAGCATAGCGGTGGCCTTTTCTACTGCAGCCGCGCACTGTCTCGACATTTTCAGTGAGTTCTCTACTACAACTCAGTGTTGGTCTGTAGGAGTCCAGCAGCACCCGAGAGACCAACAAGATTTTCAGGCCCTGAGCTTTTTTGAGAGTCGAAGAGCTCCCTTCTGCAGATAAAAATCAACACCTGTCATAAACCGACTTTTGTTTCCAAATTTTTAGGAGCAAAATTATGTAGGTATATTTTCTCATGAAAGAAGGAGAGATAATTTATTTTATTCACATTATTTGTAGTCCTTTCTCACTTGGGTTTAAGGGGGATTACACATGCTTGCAGGATATGGATGGGATTTTTTAAGCAGGGCTTTTTTGGTAGAAAAAGCCCAGCAGAAAGTAATTAGCATAATAGGCCACACCCACCAGCAGAAACTCATTAGCATATTAGGCCACACCCATGACACTACAGCTCATTAGCCTATTAGGCCACACCCCATGCCAGCCCTGGGAGGGGAGGGGAGGCTGAGGGGAGCCCAGGCAAGCCAGCCCTTGGACAGGCCAGGGGAGGCATTTAAATGCCTCCCCGATCCTTCCTGGGGGGCCCTGGCCCACCCACCTTGGAGTCACCGGGGGGGGTGTCGCTCTCCAGGTCTTCCCTCTGTAGCCAGGCACGCAGGGGTTTGGCTGTAGTGGGCGTGGCTGGCTATCTAGGCGCAAAGAGAGGGGGATGCCGAAGTGGGAACAGACAAGACGATGTGCAGTGAGCGTTCCCACCTCCTAGCCAGGGTGCTGCACCATCCAGTCTGCCTGAACCCTCAGTAGAGAGAAAACAGTGCCGCTGTGAATCTTTTCTTCACCATTATGGGCGCTATTAACTTGTCTATTACGTAGAAGATGAGAGGGCGCTTCAGTGGATGCTGCAAGCTCTTCACTAGAACTTGGATCCTAGGGTTCACTGCTCTTCTGAATTCTTAGCCCAGAAACTCTGCCTCTTCCCTTTTCCAGGCCAACTGAGAGGGAGCGGGCCGAACGCCTCATCAAGGCCAAACTCCGGAGTATAATGATGAGCAAAGATCTGGAAAACGTGACCTCTAAAGAAGTGAGCAAAGCTTGCCATTCGTCTGTTTTGCAGCATTGTGTTGCATTGCCTAGAAAGCGAATACTGAATAAATCGCAGACATTCCCTCCTTCCGATGGGCTACCAGTAGAGTATGCGGAAGGCCCTGGACTCGGTTTCCTGTTGAAGGAACTTGGGGAATAGGTGCCGGGAGAGAGCTTGCTCTCTTGCTGTCATCTCGGAGAGCAAATGCCAGTCAGAGAAGGCGGTACCGAGCAGGGCCAGGCCAGAGTCTTGCTAGATCCAGCAGTTCATACGTTGTTCTTACCTCTAACTCATGTGGGGTTTACCAGTCTCATTAGAAGCAGCTTCAAGCAGCCTCTCAGGGTTCTGGTGACTGATCCTGTGATTTATTTCTGCAGTGGTGCTGCAGTGTGGCCACCTTCTTTATTGTCAGGCCGAGTCAGCAGGCAGGGGTTGCCAAGGGGAGGGGCTTCCTGGGAGACCCTTTCAGGCCAGGCCCGTGGCTATGGTGGGGGGGGCATCTCGGGGCTAGGCCCCCTGACTTACTGGCAAGGCCCCACGACTTCCCATCCAGCCCAGGGCCCCCGAGCAGTGTCAGGTGCAGGGAAGGAGCCGGGTAGTCCTTTAATTCAATTTGCCCCCTAAGGAATTTAAATCCCCCCCCCGACTTAAACCCCCCCGGCTACGGGCCTGTTTCAGGCCAAGCCTGGTGAGGAAAAAGCAGGGACACCGGGGGGGGGGGAGAAATGAGCAAAGTTTCTTTTGCTGTTGCGGGACTGGCGCTACCTGCACCGGACTCTCAGCAAACCGGGGCAGCGGGTTCGACGGACGACGAAGGCGACAGACCTCGAGCCTTGGGAAGCAGTCCAGGAGACTCTCAAGACGCCAACCCCCTCCCTCCGCGACCCCAAAGACACAGGAGGAACCAGGAGGAGACGGGGCTGGAGGAACGGTCCGACGCGGACATCGTTCCTCAGTCACTGACTCGGGGGTGGAGGGCCCGATCGAGAGGAAGAATGAGTTGGAGGGTCCCAGCCTTGCCCCCCAGAGATGAAGACAGCGGGCGTTGGTCCCTTCGTCCTTAACGGAAGTCGGCACTCCCCTGCACGCCCCCGCTCAAGGCTAGAGACACGGGGATATCCGGGGAGGCGGGACCAGGAGGGGAAGCACCAAGGGAATGGAGAGCACGGTGATGGGCAGGTGGAAGAGGCAATAGGCTCAGCAGTAACAGGAAGGGGTGTGTCACTAGGGGAGGAGAAGACAGATAAAAGGAAGGAAGCGGGAGAATGCTGGGGAGGATTTCAGAGGCGATCACCCAGCCAAGCCAGAGAGAAGCAGGAGAGGTGATTGATCTGGGGGAGGTGCCCAGGGCGTGACGCGACCCCCAGCCCTTCCATATCTGAGGCGTTTGCTTCCTTCTCAAGTCCTTCCCCAACACGGCGACTGGATTTACAGGGCCTGGGGGCAACCCAGAGCACGACAGCTGTCCTCCATCTTAGCTAAGGTTAAGGGACGAAGGTTCAGTTGGGCAGCTGGGGGCCATTTGTCTCTTTTCATTTTATTTACATCATTTAGCCCCCCCCCCTTTCCTCCCCAGCGGGGATCCAAAGCAACTTACGTCGTTCTCTTCTCCCCTGTTGTATCCTCACAACCACCCTGTGAGGTAGGCTAGGCCGAGAGCGTGTGGGTGGCCCCAGGTCACCTACCAGGCTTAACATGCGAACAGACGCATCAAGCCGTTCCTCCCTCCCCTTTGCGATTCTTCGCCTTCCAGATACGGAACGAGCTGGAGAAGCACATGAGCTGCAATCTGAAAGAATTCAAAGAATTTATTGACAACGAGATGCTGCTCATCCTAGGGCAGATGGATAAACCCTCCCTCATTTTCGATCACCTGTACCTGGTAAGCAGCGGAGCGAGTGAATCCGGTTTGGGGAGGGTGTTGCCTTTTTCGTGTCTTCCGAGCGCTGCCTTGGCCTGGGTGTCCTGACTCTGCTCTGATTCTTCCAGGGTTCTGAATGGAATGCCTCCAACCTGGAGGAACTCCGGGGCTCTGGGTGAGTATCGGGCCGTCTGTAGCTGAGTGCAACTGGCAGTGCTTGCAGCAGCTGTAAAACTCCCCAGTTCCAGATGCATATGGATTTGATGCTTGCTGGTCTCTTGGGACTTGAAACACTGAGCGTCAGCTCTGAGCCCAGCCGGCAGCTTAAAGTTTCATGACGCCTCTGAAAGACTATCCTGGTACGAGATGTGTGTTTGCTAGCCCTAACTTTGGAGTATTGGGCTGGAAGCTAGCAATGTCAGATGTTCACTGAGCCACTTTGGTGTAGTGGTTAAGTGTGTGGACTGTAATCTGGGTTTGATTCCCCACTCCTCCACTTGCACCTGCTGGATGACCTTGGGCAAGCCACAGTTCTGCCAGAGCTGTTCTCTCAAGGGCAGTTCCGGAAAGAGCTCTCTCAGCCCCACCTACTACCTCACAGGGTGTCTGTTGTGGGGAGGGGAAAGGAAAGGAGTTTATAAGTCACTCTGAGACTCCCTTGGGTAGTGAAGGGCATGGGATATACATCCAATCTCCTCCTCCTCTTCTTCTTCTATGCCACGAGAATCTGACCTCAGCACAGAGAGTCCAGCTGTGGCCTTTTAGCATCACTTGCATCACTGGTTCTGTTCAGACCGTTTTGGAGTTTGCTGTATTTTGATAACGGCCGGGAATGTACTGCTCGAGGAAGGAATCTTGGCATGGGCCGAGGGAACGAGGAGGGACAGCAGAGTTGTCATTTGCTGGTGTGAAGGAGACGACGAACAGATCTGTCTTCTTTGGCCGCGATGTGGCTGTTCGAGGGGCCAGTGCATCGCTGCAGCCCCCCATCCTCCACCGGTCACCGGAGCTTTTTCACACGTTGAATTTGGCTAGACCAAGGAGGGATGGGGCCCTTTTGGCCACCCTCTCCCTGACCCCAGGAGAGCTTGCCCGAAACTTACTTCTTCAGCTTGAGGTTTATTTTTCGTGCTTGTATCCCGCCCATCCCGCTTACCTTGACTGCTCTTTGCCGAAGGACAATTCTAATGAGGACACTTTGGCTAAACAATCATAGGAAGGGCTCTTTTTGTAGCAGGAACTCCTTTGCATATTAGGCAACACGCCCCCTAATGTAGCCAATCCTCCAAGAGCTTACAGAGCTGTTTTTCCGGGGGCTACTGTAAGCTCTTGGAGGATTGGCTACACTAGGGGTGTGTCGCCTAATATGCAAAGAAGTGCCTGCTACAAAAAGAGCCCTGGACCAGAAATTATTACCAGTGAAACACCACTTGGTATGTGATTGCATCTTTGGAGGCCTCATTTGTAGTTTTATTTTGTGCCTCGTGGTTTTATTTTGGAACAATTTTTTCTGGTCCTTCTTGTATTTATATTTCATATCTGTATGATTATACTGTACTGTTATATAAGCCAATATACTCCTCATTGGGTGCGGTCAGACGGTGTGCTGGGAGCGGTTTAAATTGCTCTGGCCCTGATGCGGTCTTTTTTAACCCGGAGAATCGCGATCACACTCACCTCCTTGCTCCGGATCGCTGCGCAACCACATCGCTCCCTGCCGCCCACACGCGGGAGCGTGCGTCGCTGTTGTCTTTTTCTCTCTCTCAGATTGGGCATGCGCACAGGCGGCCATCTGTAGAACTAAAACTTTCGCGCGTGCGCAAAACACCGATTGCCACTTCAACCCGACTGCTGTAACACTTCCCTTTAAACTTTAAAGAAACACTTCCCTTTAAACGTTTACCCCAAAAATGGCCTCCGTGAGATCCCAAACTCGTCTAAAGGCTAAAACTAGGCACAATTTAAACATTGTTTTAAATAACACGGTGGCAGACCGGCGCCTATGCGCACACCGCCAACGCTTTAAAAAAAAGACGGGCGAAAAGTGGAAGCCTCGGGCAGCTTTCGAGCGGGGAGGGGATTTAAACCGGAAGTGGCTCGACACCGGAGGAGTGATCAGATGTCAGAAAAATGCGGCTGGAACCGGAGAATCAGGAAAACACCACTTGGGGACCTGGTATCAAAATACTCCGGGTTAAAGCGGTTTTGAGCCAGAAAGCGACGGCTGGGGATAGGAGGCAGATGTTGACCGTGTGGTCGCATAGATAAAATCCATTTCTGAGGCAGGCTGAAAGCGGACTAAACAGCCCGTCTGACCGCACCCATTGTGTTTGACCTCTGACGAAGGCCTATCCAGGCCGAAATGCGTCAGGTCAAGCCCATTAGCCCTTGTGTGTTAGATTCTGATATTTTTACATGAGGTGTGATTGGGCCCTTATATATTTTTAAATTCTTTGTTAATAAGTACATGTATCTTTTTATATACTATATATATTTATATTAAGCTTTTGTTGTTGGCCCTCTTTTCCGTATGACTAACCTTTTCAGGTACTGGCAGCCCTCATTCGGGGAGGGGAGGGGAGGGGAGGGGAGGGGAGGGGAGAACGGAGACACTCCTTTTAGGCTCGCTCCCCAAGCCCCACTCGTGGTTTTAATCCCTTTCCATCCTTGCAGTGTCGACTACATCTTAAACGTCACCAGGGAGATCGATAACTTCTTCCCTGGCCTGTTTGCGTACCACAACATCAGAGTCTACGACGAAGAGACGACGGACCTCCTCGCCCACTGGAATGAGGCGTACCACTTTATAAATAAAGCCAAGTAAGTTGAAGCACAAAAAATGACCTTTTGTGACTGTGTGCCAAGGGAACAGGCTTTCTCTCTGTGGTCCGTCTAACTCAGCATTCTGCCTCCCGCAGTGAGCAGCCAGGTGCCCCAGGAAGGCTGCCGAGAAGGGCAGGATGGGAACAGTCAGCTCTCTTGTGACCTCAGAATAAGGGACTGTGCAGGTGTGCGCCCTTCATAAGTGCCAGCCCAACCCGTGTATGGAATCTTTAAGGTTGTTGGAAAGCACTTGGAAGGGGCAGTTCTAAAATCAGTTTTATTGGCTACAAAGGAGATGGTTTATAAAGGTAGAAAAGAGTTTTACTAGCATGGCCAGGGTCCGACATACCTAAGGGACCACCTTTACCCAGAGAGCACTACCGGGGTCTCAAAATTGATTGATCCTCCCTGGTCCTAAAGACACCAGGCTCGCTACCACCAGGGCCAGGGCCTTTTCAGTGGCAGCTCCATACTGGTGGAACGAGCTCCCGGAAGAGATCAGGGCCCTGTGGGTCCTTGCACAGTTCCGCAGGGCCTGCAAGACGGAGCTCTTCCACCAGGCTTTCAACTAGGAGCCGCCCCCACTATCACCACCAACTCTCGGCTGCGAGGACCGGCCTGGGTGAAGAACATCGAGAAACTAAAAAATACTTAGAAAAAGTACGCCGTCTTGTACAATTAGCGAAACATCAACAGCACTTATTACTATTATTACTGAAACTGAATTGTTTTATGTGGATTTTACCGGGTTTTAACTGCTATCTATATGTCCCACTGCCGGGACTCCCAGCACCCCCACGCCGCTGCCAGGACTCCCCATGCTGCCTGAAGACCCCCCTTGGGCCCCCCACTGCTTACCTGAGGCTCCAGGGGAACCCAGAACAAGCCGCCGCAGATGACCGGCCCAGCCGGGGAAACGGCGCCACCGCCCCGCATGCCCTCCCCGGTCGACGGCAGTAGCGGGGCCGGCAAGAGCGCGTCCACCCGTGCCGAAACAGCAGGCCCGCCGCGAGAGCCCGCTGACACATCCGGGCCCAGCAGCCCGAACGGAGCTGCCCAGCGGCGTCCTGCCCCCGACCCGGAAGGAGTAGCAGGGACCACGGCCCCTCCTGAGGGCCAGCGTTCTCAGTTATGTAGGGGGGTGGGGCTCGGAGGGAGAAAGACGGGTTGAGCGCAGGGAACACTGGGGGGAGCAAGGAGGGGATAAAAAGAGGGCAGTGACAGGGGGCCGGGGATTGCTACCTGGATTGGACAGAGCTACGCCCAGAGAGAATTCGAGAGGCAGCCAACCAAAAGGAGCAGGTCAGCAGGGGCGGTGACACAGCCCCCCTCCCCCGTTCAGGTGTCTGAGGCCCTTGCTGCCCTGGGAAGCGGAACACAAAGGTGGCGGAGCAGGTGGTGCCGGAGGAGTCCAGCAGCAGCGAGGGGGAGTCGTCTGGATCTTGTGACACTATATATTATGTAATGTTTTAATGCATGTGAGCCGCCCTGGGCCTGCTTTGCAGGGAGGGCGGGGGTATAAGTTGAATAATAAATAAATAAATAAATAAAAGGTGCCGCTCCAGCTCTTTCCATTGGCTCAGGGTGGCTTTGGTCCTCCTCGCAGCTTTGTTTGTTTGCTTGTTTATTAAAACATTTATATCCTGTGTTTCTTCATCGTTTAAGGCAGCTCATTGACTTGTCTATTTATTTAATTTCTACCCCGCCCTCCCCACCAAGGCAGGTTTAGGGCAGCTTACATGGTATATTAAACAGCTAAAACAAATATAGGTAAAATCATAAACAACATAAATATAAAGACATTACAAAGTGCTAATGCTAGATGGTGGGCATAAGCAGCATCCGACAAAACAATCAATCAGCTACCATCTTAGTCTGGGTTACACAGGGACCGATTTCACACAAGAGCTGTGCCGCGGTCGCACCTCCCTTTACCCCGCTTCTATTGGTCAATTTCCCTCTCGAAGCCACACAGCCGCATTTTGACTCGTGGTTTCGCCCGATTTTCCCCGCGGTTTTGTGATCCTGTTTTTTGAGGATAACAAAACCGCAGGGAAAATCGGGCGAAGCCGCGGGTCAAAATGCGGCCGCGTGGCTTCGAGTGGGAAATTGACCAATAGAAATGGGGCAAAGGGAGGCGCGACCGCGGCGCAGCTCTTGCGTGAAATCCGTCAGGCTGTTAGATGATGTTAATATTGATGTTAATGTTGATGTTAACATTCTGGCCAGGGCCTCCGTTTGTATGATGTAGCTCCCTAGTTAAAGGCCTGGTGGAAGAGCTCTGTCTTTCAGGCCCTGCGGAATTGTAAAAGGTCCCGCAGGGCCCTGATGTCTTCCGGGAGCTCATTCCACCAGTGCGGAGTCGCCACTGAAAAGGCCCTGGCCCTCGTTGCGCCCAGCCTGGCTTCTCTGGGGCCTGGCAGAGCCAGATGATTTTGGGACCCTGATCATAGTGCTGTCTGGGGAACAAATAAATCTTCTGCTCTGGGGCAAAAGAAACACCTTCAAAGACTACGGTAAAGAACGCCCTGCACGCCATGCGGATGATGCCTAAGACTGTAGAAACAAAGACAACATTTCCTCCCACCTCCAATCTCTTTTTCACCAGGAAAAATCACTCCAAGTGTCTGGTCCATTGCAAAATGGGTGTGAGTCGCTCCGCGTCTACCGTCATCGCCTATGCCATGAAGGAATTTGGCTGGTCCTTGGAAAAAGCCTATAACTATGTGAAGCAGAAGCGCAGCATCGCGAGACCGAATGCCGGCTTCATGAGGCAGCTCTTGGAATACGAAGGCATTCTGGATGCCAGGTTTGGTGAAGGTGGCCCCGTATTGCACCACCCCGTGGCCCTCTTCCCTTGTTAATGGTGCTCAGGACAGAGCCACACATCCACAAACAGCCTGGGTGACAGTCTTCTGGGGCAGGAAGACTTGAAAATACCAATGGGCAGGGCTCTTTTTGTAGAAAAAGCCCAGCAGGAACTCATTAGCATAATAGGCCACACCCAACAGCAGAAACTCATTAGCATATTGGGCCACACCCCTGACAGCACAGCTCATTAGCACATTAGGCCGCACCCCCTTGTTACCAGAAGTGTGATTATCCAGCCACACCCACCTTTTGCTTGTTATTCTGTTTACCTTGTTTGTTGTCAAAACCCAGGGCCTTTTTTTGTAGCAGGAACTCCTTTGCATGTTAGGCCACACACCCCTGATGTATCCAATTCTAATGAGTTTCTGCTGTTGGGTGTGGCCTGTTATGCTAATGAGTTCCTGCTGGGCGTGGCCAACTCGGGAGCCAGCCGGAACTCCGTTCCTGTGCGTTCCTGCCCAAAAATAGCCCTGCCAATGGGGAATTTCATGGCTGACAATTCCTCGATATATTTTTAAATTCCTCCTGGCATATGGAGAACAAGTCCGCAGGGAGACACTGTGTTAGAATCCTTCGCCCTGCCCTGCTGCCTCTCCGTGGGCAAGGAGTTTCATGACATGGAGAAGTATTCTGTCATGCAACATCAGCCCCCTCCAATGCGCCCGTGCCCTCTCAAGTGATACTCAGACTTGTTCTGAACGTGTAGGCTGGTGACCAGGATAAGAGAGTATTCCTACAGAATTACGCTAGAGGAAAAATAGTTTGGTAGATAGTCTCATGTGTTAGCTTTTGGGCAGTGTCAGACTTGTCAGTGAAACCAGACTCTTCCATATCTGAATCTTTGCGCAAGGGAGGGCCTGTGTATTGCGCATGCAGTTGTGACTGGTATGAAAACTCACATCCCCTTTAGAAGATGAAAAAGAAGAAGAGATTGGATTTATACCCCATGGCCCTTCACTACCCAAGGGAGTCTCAGAGCGGCTTACAATCTCCTTTCCCTTTCCCCTCCCCACAACAGACACCCTGTGAGGTGGGTGGGGCTGAGAGAGCTCTGACAGTAACGGCTCTTTTTCAAGAACAGCTCTGACAAAACTACGGCTTGCCCAAGGTCATCCAGCAGGTGCGAGTGGAGGAGTGGGGAATCAAACCCGGATCTCCCACTACGCCAAACTGGCTCTCAAGATGAGTTAAGCTTCTTGTGGGCTTGGTTTTGAAACTTTGGACAGGAACAAATCCCTGTTCAACTGGTTCTCGTGAACCACAGGTGGTCCATCTGGTGGTGGAAAGTCCTGTCAAGTCACAGCTGACATGGCAGCCCTGCAGAGTTTTCGAGGCAAGAGACGTTCGGAGGTGGTTTGCCATTGCCTGCCTCTGCGTGGTCTTCCTTGATGGTTTCCTGTCCAAGTACTAACCGGGTCCGACCCTGCTTAGCTTCTGAGATCTGATGAGATCAAGCGAGCCTCAGTCATCCAGGTCAGGGCCGTTCCGGTGCACTAAACCTGAGCGCTTTTCATGGCATTGAATAGCAACTGAAGCCCTTCATGATTTCACTCATTTGTGGGCAGTTACAGACAATGTTCCCTCTAAGCTGTGGAGTTCTGTGAGCAAAAATTCTACTTTGTGAGCTACTGGCATTAAAGTTGTTAGCGAGCAATCTGGCTATTGCATAAATCAGTTTGCTCTGGGGCCATCCCCTTCCTGAGCGAAGGCAAAAATGGGTGAGCTGGAGGCTAAAAAACTGTGAGCTAGCTCACACCAACTCAGCTTAGAGGGAACACTGGTTACAGATTGTCTGGCAGAGGGTGGAGAGCTGGGGGCCAGGAGAGACTGGCTTGCCCCAGGTTGCCTGACACATTGATAGCTGAGATGAAATTTGGATCAAGGGCTTAATGTCTTAGCTTCTGGGCCACACTTGTGTCGAACTAGCTGCCAGGACCCTGGTTCCGATCCAGCTCTGCCTCGTCTCGATATCCATCCCTCCCTGCAGCGGCAGACGTGTGCCCCACTTCCGGTTCCTTTCCCTGGGAGCCCGGATTGCTGTACAAAGAACTGGCGCTTGTGTTTGGTGCAGCGGTTAGGAGCGCGGACTCTAATCTGGGAGAGCCGGGTTTGATTCCCCCACTCCTCCACTTGCAGCTGTTGGATGACCTTGGGCAAACCATAGTTCTGACAAGACCTGTCCTTGAAAAAGAGCAGTTTTTGTCAGATCTCTCATAGCTCCGCCCACCTCACAAGGGTGTCTGTTGTGGGGAGGGGGAGGGAAAGGAGATTGTAAGCCGCTCTGAGACTCTAAGTGAAGGGCGGGGTATAAATTCAATCTCTTCTTCATCTTCTTCTTCTTCTCCGTCTCCTTCTCCACTGCACAGATTCCTCTTCAGCAGAGAAACAGGATGTTTGCTCTCATTAAAACTCTACCACCTCCACCCCCCCTTCCCACAGCTTGCATTGTAAACTATCCTGGGCAAAGACTATTCTTGATTAACGTCACTCTGCAAAGGGCCGTGCACATGGACGGTAGTCCGTTAATATGGTTTCTGCGCATCCGTTGTCCTGTGGCCCTTCTTAGGATCCTCAGTGTGTGCATCTTCACTGTCCACAATTCAGGGCTTCGGTTGCATAATGGCCGTCGTCTCTCTTCTTATTCCTTAGTAAACAGCGTCACAACAAGCTGTGGAGGCAGCAGTCAGACAACCGCCTCCCCCAGAACTCAGATGGCTGCGGCGGCCCCGATGCCTTCCTGATGGAGAATCTCGAGGTTGACCTTGACCCTCCTTGCCAGCCGGCCTGTGTAGATCCAAGAGTGAGCCAGGAAGCCGTGGGCTTCCATTACTGCTTCAGGCGCCTCTCCGACTCTTTGCCTGGCAACAGGGAGTCTTTTTTCCAGGTAGAAGATCCGGAGAGAGACGTGCTTCTGGAGGAGGCTGACGCAGCAGCGGACCTCCCTTTCCCAGGCTTCTCAGAAAAGGCTGTGGTGGAAAAACTGAAAGGCAAGGAGAGGGCAGAGGTCTCTGGCCTGGGAGAGAAACCAGCCAAGAAGAAATCTGACATCAGCCTCCTGAAAGATGTGGCCATGCCCAGTCTCGCTGTCCCCGAAGAGGAAGGCCCCCAAGAGGAGAAGCCCACGGAGAGGTGGAAGCGGCGCTCATCGGTGCAGGAGGAGGAGAGCAGGTTGAACTGCGAGAACCTGAATAACAACAACAGCAAAAGGAGCTGCCCGGAGGATTTTGAGGTAGGGGCGGTGGAGTGCACAGCAGACGTTAGTACAGCAAACTGTGGTTTAGAGAGGGGTCCTCTGTCCTGGTTCACCAACGAAGACACACTACCTTGGGCAGCCCTGTTGGGGGTTAGTTTGGAAAGTGTGACTTCTGGACCGCCCCGACGTGCCTTTAACATAACGAGCATGTTCCCTCTTGTTGTTCCCTGAAAGGAATCTTGCAAAGTTCCAGGTGTTGGGAACAGCGTTCCCTATAAGCTGAGTTAGTGTGAGCCAGCTCCCAGTTTTTTAGCCTCCAGCTCCCGCATTTCTGTCTGAGCTCAGGAAGGAGGGCTCCAGAGCAAACTAATTTATGCAGTAGACAAATCACCTCCTCACAACTTTAATGCCGGTAGCTCACAGAGCAGCATTTTTGCTCACAAGACTCCACAGCTTAGAGGGAGCATTGGTTGGGAAGGGCCTTTCTCTGACCAAGACCCTGGAGAGAGAGAGAGGGTGGCTGCTGCCGGTTTATATATTGGTTTTGAAAGTGTACGTCCTGCCTCTCCACCTAAGCCATTTCCGGCAAGGCTATCAAATAAACTGCAGTAACAGGTCCCATCAATATAAAAATCAGTAAAATATCCGTAATGCTAAAGGGATCATAGAATCACAGAGCTGGAAGGGACCTCCAGGGTCATCTAGTGGAACCCCCTGCACAATGCAGGAAATTCACAAATGCCTCCCCCTCCGCACCCCCAGTGACCGCCACTCCATGCCCAGAATATGACAATAAAACCTCCAGGACCTCCAGCCAAACCAGCCTGGAGACACAGTACCAGACCCCACTCTATTAAGACAGAGCAAAGGTTTCAGGAGGGAAGCGAGGAGAGGGGGTAGGATGGGCCCACGAGTCTGGCCACCCAAAGCCAACAATCGGGTGGGTGGAGGCAGCTTCCGTGTCCCGGTGCAGCAGGGGCCTCTACAGCCGCGGGAATCGATCATAAATCTAACAGAGGGTGCTATTTTTGTGGTTGCTGCTGAGACCAGGAGTTCTCGCAAGAAACTGGCCATTTTCTGTGGCGTTGTGTAGCGGGGAAGAGGAAGTCTGGAGAGGAAGCTGGATGCCTTCACGCTGGCTGGTTTTCGCCACCCTGCAAGCAAGCAAGGCTGTTTTTAGAATCTGTGCTTTGGAGGCCTCTGGGAAGACCGGAGTTTACAGCAATAAAAGGCACACATTTCCGGTCATTTCTGTAGCACTTCTAGTGCGCACCTCACAATAACGAAGTGAAGGAAGTCCACCATTCTCCCATTTTTACAGGGAGGCTTGCAAAATCGTGACTTGCCTTCATGTGGATTTCTGAGCCTGGTTGGTCTTCGTCTGTCCCCTGAAGGTGGCGCTCTCTCCCAGGCTTCCTGCTTCTACTTTGGCGGAGCAGTGCTTGATTTCATAATGCCATTCCAACATATAATATCCGTATAATGTCCCAGTAATAAATAGTGAACAATGAACAATGAGAAGCAAATAAATACTGATTTTTTATCGTCGCTCTGATTTTATAAAGTTGACATCTAGGGCTGCATTGGCCTGCATAAGACATTATGCCAATATTATTCTCGTCCCGATTAGGAATCTGCCAGAGCACGGCTGGCTCAGGGCTGCACTGTGCGCCCAAGAACAGGGGTGCAGCTTGGGCCCCGAGCCAGGCCCCGAACAGAGTGTTAAGGTCCCTCGCCGACTCCTGCATGGGGTTCTCCAAAGTATACTGCCCAGGAGTTTTTCAAGTTGAACGGTGCCTTGCAGTGCGTTAAAGAGAGCCAGTTTGGTGTCGTGGTTAAGTGCGCGGACTCTAATCTGGGAGAACCGGGTTCGATTCCCCACTCCCCCACTTGCACCTGCTGGATGACCTTGGGCAAGCCGTAGTTCTGATAAGAGCTGTTCTTGAAAAAGAGCCGTTTCTGTCAGAGCTCTGGGAGGGGAAGGGAAAGGAGTTTGTAAGCCGCTCTGAGACTCCCTTGGGTAGTGAAGGGCGGGGTATAAATCCAATCTCTTCTTCTTCTTCTTCATCATCTTAAACAAATCAGCAGGGAGCTTCCAGTTGTTATTATTGTTATTTTTCAGATTTTTACCCCACCCTCCCGGCCAGAGCCAGCTCAGGGTGGCTTACATAAAAGCAGATAGTTAACATTAAAAGCATAATTACAATTAAAACAAATAACAAAATCATAGTAAAGTGCTAGTGGTTGTTGTTGGCGTTCATATGACGGTGGCAGCCAGTAGCCAGTATGCAAAGTTCTTCCTTGGAGTCAGCTCTCAGTGTTCATTTTGAACGTCTTTGCAGGGCTTGCTGTTTTCTAGGCTGTTGATGGCCGTTTCCAGAGTCCAGGGCCCTTTTGTTTTCAACCAAGCGACGTTCTTCGTTGGTGGCGGCTCTCCCTGGTGGAAGAGCTCCATTTTACAGGGCCTGCGGAACTGTAGGAGGTCCCGCAGGGCCCTGATCTCCTCCGGGAGCTCATTCCACCAGGATGGAGCCACCACCGGAAAGGCCCTGGCCCTAGTGGTCGACACCCTACTCTCCTTAAGACCCAGGAGGGCCAGCCAATTCAGGGGCCCTGACTGCAGTGCTCGCTGGGGAACATGTGGGGAAAGGCGGTCCCTTAGGTGTCACGTCACGGTAGACCTACACCCAGGGGTCATTTCCTGCAGGAGCGCACAGGAGCGGAGCTCCGGCAGTAAAGAGCCCAGGGGACGGGCACATGCAACAAGCCCCGCCCCCTGCTCCCAGCAGCCCTCAGTCAGAGCAAGAAGCAGCCAGGTAAATTGTAGAGAGGCCCCCCCCCCGGTCCAAAACAATCCAGTGGCACCTTCAAGACCAAGTTTTATTCAGGTACAAGTTCTCCCTCCTCTGCGAGGGCAGATCTGCACGCCCCCCCCCCCCCGATAGCTAGCAATCCAAAAGAGTCCAATGGAGCCTGAGCGGTGGGTGTTGCCTTCTGACACACTTCCGGTGATGTCAGGGGGCGGGGCATATTCAAATGAGTTATGCTAATGAGCTCCTGCACCTCTTTTTCTGCGAAATGACCCCTTGTGCTGCATGCCTGGCTTCTTCATTCCCTGTTCTGTCCTTTTCAGCACGATGCCATCTTTGGGATCCTCAACAAAGTGAAACCTTCCTACCAGTCTTGCGCCAGCTGCATGTACTCCTCAGCCAGCACCTCTGCAGAAGCCTTTGGGGAGCCGTGCGAGAACCTGCACCCGGTTCCCCCGTGCCACAACCCCACCGTCTGCACGCAGCCCTCGTTCCTCTCCCACGGGGCGCCTGTGTTCTTAGAGCAGGCGCTTCGCCAGTCGCCTCCGATGGAAATCCACGGGGCTAAAGCCAATGCCTTGCCTTTGGTGCTGGCTGAGAGTAACTTGCAGGACGTCGATAGCGGGAAACCTTTAGCCAGTTGGCCGTTTGATACTCTGGAGAAGGCCAAAGATGTGTCAAAAGCGCCCGCCGGGGCCTTGCTTGGCCAGAGGGATTCTCTCTGTGATAGGAACGCCCTCTCCAGCGAAGCCCCGAAAGAGGACTCTTCTCCGAGAAAAGAGGTCAGACAGACAAAGGACCTGAAGTACTTGCTGTTTAGTAAAGATTTAGAAAAAACGACTAGCAACAGTTACTTGATGCAGCATCAGGAGTCACTGATTCAGCTGCAGAAAGCAGGATTGGTTCGGAAGCATACCAAAGAACTGGAGCGCTTGAAGAGCCTCCCTTCGGAGACAGCGGGGCAGGCGAGGGAATGTCCCGGGAGCCCCGCGGATGCTGCCATCCCCGAGGAGACTCCGGACTCAGTGGCTCAGCAGCACCAGCTACCTCTTCAAGAGCCGCCACTTGCAGGATCCGAAGACAAAGAAAATAAACCCGAGAAGCTGCAGAAAACCTTCCTTGCAGGGGAGGCATCCCAGAAAACCTCCACGCCCATCTTCTGCAAGGCTGAACACACGAGCAGTTTCACAAAAGACTTTCTGAGGACCATTTGCTACACGCCGTCCTCTTCTAGGAGCTCCAACCTGACGCGGAGTTCCAGCAGCGACAGCATCCACAGCGTGCACGGGAAGCCGGGCCTGGTGAAGCAGCGGACCCAGGAGATCGAAACCAGGCTGCGGCTGGCTGGGCTGACGGTCTCGTCTCCCCTGAAGCGCTCCAACTCTCTTGCCAAGTTGGGGAGTCTGAACCTGTCCTCGGATGACCTAACCAGCGACATGGACCCGTCCGTGTTGACAGACCCGAAAGAGGCCAAACTGAGCGAGACTTCCATGCTCTGCGACTTACGATACACTTTGAAAAACACAGAAGTGGGCCCCAGGCCATCGGTGAAATCTACCGTGGGGAAGTTGAAAAGCACTCTTTGGGAGGGGAAAAGTTGACACATTGGTCATTGTTTTAGGACCCCGTTACTTCTGTATTAGTATGTACTAAATGCAGTTTTATCATCTTAAGAAAAGAAAGCTCAGTGGCTTTGGTCCCCCCCTTCTGGTGGTATCCATAAGTGAGGGTTGGAAACAGGGGGGAAATTTCTGACAAGGGTGAGCAGCCCAAAGAAAAGACCTGGGGGGTGGGGGTGGATCTTGTATGCGAACATGGCCTCCCGGGAGTCTAGAGCGGAGGAGCTTCTCCATATCTGCTCGTTCAGAAGAATTGCAGGGGCTTCCTGGCCACACATGCCTGGCACAGTTTTTAAGAGGCTGTTTTGATAAAAAGCCTAAGAGGGCGACGCAAAATGCTACCTCCGTTGTTTAAGTATTTATATGTAGATAGGCGGGATTCCTTTAAAAAAAAAAAATCTTGCTCTGCAATGGATAACCTTTTTTTTAAACGGTCATCTGCCAGTCATGCTTGGAATAACCATCTATAAGCCCCCCCCCCCCCCAAGACTGAGGCTCACCTGCAACAACAGCTTGTCCATACTGGCTTTTGAGCTGGTGGTTTTACTTGACTTTGTTGGAACAGTTGTTTTGAGTTCCTTCTGTCCCGTGGGTGGATGGTCCAGAGTCCCATGTGGCTCCTGGCCTTGTATCGAAGCAGAGGGAGGGGATACCATTAGTGCAGCGTGGGTGACCACAAACCCTTGTACAGATCCGTGGAGCTGGATTCCGTGTTGTAGCATTTCTGCGTTTGAAGGCGCTAGTTCATCATATGGTTGCTTAAGGCACAAGCTGCTGCCCACAAGTTTTGATATGAGGTAACTGAAAGGGTTCCTCCCGTTTGTCCACATGTGAAAATGGGGTGGGGCATGGTTGGTGGGGGGGACGACCGTGTTTTCCTCCATTTGTTTGTTAATTGTTGTGCATTCTTTGATTTGTAGGCAGAAGAGTTGTAGGTTGTCTCAGGATAGGATCGTGGTTTATTCCAAGCTCAAGTTGTTTATGAATGGATGTTTTGTGTAGCATCTTCCATGTGAGTCTGGTGGTGCTTTTTTTGCCGGGGGTTCGGAATGCCAAGGTGCCATGGGGGGGGGATGCATGCAGGAAGGGCTGTTACATGTTGGCCCTTTCCTTGGGTGTGTTTCATTCAACCCTGCAAAAGTTACTTGAAGCTCTTGTCCTGCTGAGAGACGCTTGACTGTCCTGGGGCTAAAAACCAAGGCCCATATCAGTTTCTCTGTGGTCATTTGGTGTCCTGCAAAGCCCTGGTAGTTTTAGATCCTGCCTGCTTCTAATCTGAAGTCTCCCAGACTTTCCTTGGGCCCAGCCAGATTGGAGTGCCAAGCAGAGAAAAAACAGATCCTTCTCACGGAAATCCCCGTACCTTTGCATGATGCAAAGTGTGCAGGCCAAGTAGCCAGTCTAGTCCCAGGCCAGATACAGACATGAGTGATAAACTGGACTTGGAGAATTTATACTGCTAGTTCAGGTGGGGAGAGGAAACGTCTAGAGTAGTATTGTTCAGAGAGTCCTCTTTGGCTCAGTCCTAAACCCTAGTGGCCCACGTGGAGTCCACGGGGATGCTGTCTGGCCCTAGACTGGCAGCCAAAGACTATGCCTTGTTTAGAACTGCAGATATTCAAGGCAGCCGCAAATATTCCAGGGCAGTGGGGGGGGGGGCCCCC